ACAACAACAACAACAACAACAACACATGAAAAAGAAAGCTTGTTAATCCAATTCCAAAGGTTCCCAGCCCTCTCCCAAGGCCCCATCTTCACCAAGGCCTCATTGGCGCTTCCCACGAAGCTTTGCCACCGCTCGGACGTCACCACGTCTTGCAAGCAGCTGGGGAATTCCTGGTCGCTGCGAAGGCGGAGGAGCCCGGTCTGTTGAGGGTCTGACGGTGTTTGGAGGCAGCGCTGTCTGTTGACGGTTGAGTACTCCCATCGGAAACAATCCATGCAACTGGCATATATGATATTTAGATTACATACAGGAGTGATTGGAGGGGTCAGTGGAAGGTCTATTTAAACACATCATGATGGTTTTTTGCTGCGCATCCATTTGCCTTCTTCAGTCCAAAGACTCAGCGAGTCAGTCAGCCACGTTGCTTCACCTAGACCGGTCTAGGTCATGTCTAGGTCATGTCATGTGAGACGTTCTCCATCGACGGTCCGATCGGTAAATGGGCGATGGGAAGCGTGCGGGGACCTCGTAGATGAATCTCTTGCTGAAGCAGCCGCCGCCTTCCAGTGGCACCTCCAGCGGGCGGGCTGAAAACGGCTGACAAGAGGCGGGTGAAGAAGGAGATGTCCCAAAGAGATGAAGCGCCTGATTCGATGGTGAACCTGATATAAACATACAACATCCTTTTTGCTTCAGTGCTCATATTGCCCACCTGCTGCTTCAGAACCGCCTCCCCAAATACAGTATAGGTCGCTAGCTACGCAGGTCCTCCCCGTCCTCGTCGCGCTCCGACCCGCGCTGCTCGCGAAGGGCGAAGGGCGAAGGGCCGTCGCGAAGGGCGACGGACACCCCAAGCGACACCGAACCGAGCATGGGGAAACCATTGGACATCAAACAACATGTTAAAGAAAAAACATGGTACTGACTTGGGAGCTGGGTTGGCTTTGTTTGTCTGTGGCCACCAAGAAGCTAATTGCAACATGATTTAAATATGATAAAAGCTGTACAGAACTAACTAACTATACTGTAACTTGTTATCAAAAGCTGTTCCACCTGCAAACAAAGGAGGGACCGGCTCCTTACGCCAGGCAAACGGCCGCAGTGAAGCTGGAAGGACATGGAGGTTCTGGATTCCACTGGTTGCCGTACACCCAGGTTCCAGAATCCACATTGCAACCGGGCGAACGGTATGGACCGGGCGAACGGGAGACTAGAGCGGAACCTCCATGTTCACCTATAGGATCATCCTGGACCTGGTTTTCCTCGCGTTCGACGACCCTACGCGAAGTACTTAACAGGTCTCCAGCCAGGGCACCCGGCCAGGAAGTGCTAGCTAGGTTTGGGATGGTTTGCAGTGGATGTTGCACCTGGACTTAGCGGACCTAAGTCCCTGCAGGGACCCTGAAAAACGTCGCCTTGACCCCCTGAAATGCACACATGGAAGTGGATGGCATGTCCACTTAGATGACTCTCTTCCCCACATGAGTACCAAACAGGTGCGCATGTCCACTTCGATTCGGATTAAAAGAGATTCCCTTCATCGAGACTGAAGACCACTCAGTCCTGACCTCATGCGCGCCGTCTCCCATATGCGCGCGCGCACGCCTGGTAATCTTCGAAAGGCCAGTTGCGCTTCCCCAGCACGGCGGCATGGGCTTCCCCAGAGGTCCGTCCGGGGCGGAAGTACAAGCCACGCAGGGCGGACGTCGCCATGGAAGCGCTCGAGAGAGAGAGAGAGCGCTCACATCGCAACCCGGTAGAAAACCCCCACCAAAACGGAGGTAGGGATATGGAGCTTGAAAATGCAGTAAGGCTGAGGTCCTGAAAAAAAATGACGAATACTGGGCTTTGCAATTCAAATCGTCTTGAGACTTCAACCTGCTTATGGTCAGCGGACTTTGCAGTGCTTTCATCAACGGACTTTGCATGATAAGAATTTCCATGATCTTTCTGCACGATGCACTGATGCACTGTGCCTCACCTGAAGCAGCCACGCACTTGGACGGATCAAATCTGGATCCGCGCGCCGTTTCTGGCATTCCACGTTGAACGAAGAGAGCTCCCAGACGTTCATCATGGCAAACTTGGACGAAACCATCGAGTTTGAGCAGTTCTTGTTTTTGTTTACTTCAATGGCAAAGTTCACTAGAAGTCCTCCCTCCATTTTTCCACCATGCTTCCACCCCTTTCGCCTCACTCCCGTGTCGCGCCAACGGACCCTCAGACGCTCGGCGCCGGATCCGGGGTCGACGTGGTCGTCTCGAAGCGACCCGGCTCGGTACGGGACCCGGTTCGGTGGCACCGAAGAGTGTCGAAACACATCACCTAACGTGGGACGGTACGACTGGATCGGCGTTTTCGGGCACACGGCGTTTCCCACGTGTGCGACCACGCCATGTCTGCACCACGCTGAAGAACCGTGGGTAGTCCGGTCACGGTCCACTCCGCCCTCGACTCCGCCACCTTTTCGGATGCCGAGAACCCACGTCCGGCCAGCGAAGGAAGCGCCTGGCAGCGGGTGTGGGGATGCAGGAAGGTTCGTGGCAGGTTCGTACCAGGTCTCTTGGACAGGCTTGAAGACAATGTGTGTGTGTGTCGACAAAGTGCACCTTGCAAACTACCATGACTCATTACCCATTGCAAGCATACTGAAGAAGCAAAAGGCCCCACACACTCAAATCACTCGGCACATTTCTTTCCCAGCAAGGATGTCGCGGTTCCATGTTCCTGCGCACTCGAATGTCCTGGGCAGGTGCATGTGCGACAGGTGAAAGGAGGCTGCGACAGGGGACAGGCCAAGCTTTGCTGAGATCATGCTTGACCTGGTATGGCATGGTATGGCTAGGTGGTTTCAACTCGGTTGCAAACTAGACAGTGGGTTCAATCATCCCAAGTAAAGGTTGAACAAAATCTGAAACCACCACCTGAATCTCATGAATGTAAGTGACTCTGTTCCAGTTCCATAGATGGGTTGAAGATTTGAAGGACTGCAAGAGCCCTCTCTCCAAAACTATGGGTTGTACTGTTGTACTGTAGGTGTTACCTTAACCAAGTCTGGTGGGATTCCAGTTTCTTCCAGTTTGGATGGTCTGGGTTTCAATCACCTATCTACTCATCCATCCGAGTCCATCCATCGCCCTCGATGTGTCCGGAAGTCCAGATGCGTGTCGGTCTCCTCCCAGGAGGTCGATTTAGGTCTCCTTGGCAGCGGCCTCCTGCGATGGAACGTCGTGCGATGACGGGTGCTGACCCAAAAGGAGCTGTGGATTTGGATGAAATTTAGATGTAGTATGACGTGTGTTGTTCGAGTGACCAATCTGATGACAGAGGTTCCTATTTGAGCATCCACGGGGGCTAAAAATAGAGGTCTTATTGGAGAGTAGGGACCATAGAACATTGAAGCTCTTGTGTAACGGGGAATCTGAAGATCGCAGCTTTCCAAGGGCTCTTTCATGACCAGCTCCATCCCGTTCCATCCCCTCAAATACAAAACCCTTTTGTCACTAAGACTAGACCCCAAACACTAAACATAGAGTCACTAGGCCTCAGAAGGAATGACAAAGCATGGACAAAGCGATACCTTCTCGCATGTATGTAAACCATTCTGAAACAGGCTAAACATCCTTACCAAGCACCGCAAACATAACATAGTACATAACATATAGAGGGGTGCTACGCCCCCAAGAAGCAGAAATATCATACTGTAACAAAATAGAACAAATTTCTTGATCGCTGCGTCCTTGGCCTTCTTGATCCGATCGCCCTGGTAGTGCGCCGCTGTGCGTGCCTCAAAACATGCTGCTCGCACGCAAGGAAGGTAAGCAACGCGACGCGCGCAAAGAAACACCGCAGGTTCTGGCGCCGTTTAGCGGGAACTGGAAGAGTGAGAATCTCCTGATTGACTTGTTGAAGATGCTTGACGAGTTGAAGAGAGATACAGTACCAGGACCCACAAGGGGTGGTTAATGGACACCCCAAATCACTTCTAAGGAGCTATCAATCGAAACCCCTTAGGGGTCCTGGTAGCTGATGTTGGTTGAAGATTTCAGGTGCACACTTTGCGGGGAACCAGGTGTGAGCATTTGTGCCTGCACAATAAATGGGCAGGCAAACAGCCTCTGACATGCGTATTGGACACTCCAGTCCCAACCACAGAAAAATGAAAAATGACTTTGGCTGTTCAGGGCTTCCCAACCCTGTTCAATGAGGTTTGCACCTGGGCTTTCCAACCATTCTTCCAAGCCCCTCTCATTCTTAAAGATTCTCTGCCACACTCTGCTCCGGTCCACTTCTTGCAGTGACAAACCTTTAAACGCTTTTTGTTGTTTGTGTTCTCAAGCCTCCGCTGTCCCAAGCGGTGTGTTTAGCGAGCAAAAGCACATGGAAGCCACATTGAAAGCGCAGCACATGTGAAGCTCAAACACAAAGCACAAAAACATGGTTGCAAAAAGTAGCGCAGCCATAGGAGTGCATGGCAACGACTACCAAGCTATGTTATGTGCAAAAGTGGCGGGGGAACCCCCACCGTCGTTTTTCCCACGAACCGCCGTATGGACCATGGACGTTGAAAAAAACAGAAAAAACAACAACAACAACAACAACAACAACAACACGCACACAAAAACATGAGGTCAAAAGCCCAGGCGCCTTCTTGAGAGTTGCGTAGGCCTTGAACTCCTTCTCCTCATGAAACGAGTCGACTCGTTCGACTCGTTCGACTCGAGCTGACGAGGCTCGTGTACAAGGCTCGTGGACAGGTCGGGTGAAAGGGTTCGAGTTCGAGTTCGCCCCAGGTGAGGCATGGAGGGGGGGGAGCATTGCCACGTGTCTGATCGGTTGAAAAAGCGTTCAACAAGCAGGAACATGAACAAAGAGAAACCAATTAGAGCAGCTTTCAAAAGAAGGGACTTCAAAGACTTCTAGCTTTACATTGACCTCTTTGCATCCCAAACCTTTACAAGCCAAAATCAAGTAGCTGCAATCACTTCCAATTTCCACCAAACTCGCTTCCCAAAGCAACCACCGGTACCATCCGCCCAACATCCAAAGGCGGTGCAGTCAGCAAATCGACCCACCGGGCCGTTCA